AATAATCTGAGGACAAAGAAGGAATGTGGGAGGAGGAGAAAAAACAGGACATTTTAAAAGCAGCCAAAAATGCATTAATCAGGACCTTTCCTGTCAAATCAGGACAGTGTGAAAGTAGGTTTCATTGTCAAATGCTTTCATGGCTGGAATCACTGAGTTGTTGTAGGTTTTGTCGGGCTGTATGGCCATGCTCTAGAAGCATTCTCTCCTGATGTTTCGCCTGCATCTATGGCAAGCATCCTCAGAGGTTGTGAGGTCACAAGCCATAGATGCAGGCGAAAAACCTACAACAACCCAGTGAAAAGTAGGTTGTTGCATGTTACACTTAAGCATTTAAAGTCCAAAGTCCATAGCTTTGTGCCAATTTTCTCCCCCATTCTGAACAGTGATCTGGAGTCTATCTCCAATGAGCCATGAAAAGTCAGTGGGTCATTCAATTATTCCCACCTGGATCTACCTTGCAGGGTGGTTGCAAGGATAAAGTGCAAAGGAAGAATGGCTACATATGCAGCCTTCAGCTCGGAAGTAAAGGAAAGATAGCAATGAAACTAATAATTGAATAAATAAATCGCCAAAATGTGTGCCAGCTCATGTAACAAGTAAGCTGCTTAGTGGTAACAAGTGAGTGTAAGACACGTCCCCAGCAGGATCCTAGTCAGAACTTGGGTATATAAAATCAGCCTATCAAGCCATACAGGAATGACACATGCCCACCTATCCAGGGATCGCTGGATTAGCATGGGTGCTACAATCCATCTAGAGAAGTAACGGCTAAAACCATGCTAATAGCATTTTAAGACATGGCATCTCACACCCTTCCTGTTTAGTTTTTAAATCCCCAGAGTATGGGAAAGCTACTTCATGGGGTTACAAGTTCCAGAATCTCCGATAAAGTAGTTATGCTGTAGTAAAAAAGATACTTTTTAGTAAAAAAAAAAAGAGATAATTTTGCCCTGCACTTGGAATTTCCAATTAAATAAGAAGGGTGTGTACAGCCTGTAAGTATAAGCACCTTCCAATTACTCAAAGAGGGACTTGTCTGCATTGTTCAAAACAAGGCACTTAAAATGTTTTCTGTCTTACCTAATATGACCCTCTGGGTTACAGATTCTGTATTTCTGTTTGGTGCTGTTTCTAAAAAAGGCAGCCAGATGTCCATGAGGTCTGATGGCAAGGAAGTGAGCTTGTTGCTAGAAACATCCAGATAAGTGAGATTCCGCAAGTATTTGCCAGCCTCAGCTGGAATGCTGGTCACTTTGTTGTTATGCAAGTCAAGAGTTCGAAGGTTTGGCATCTCAGCCAAAGATTCCCAGGGAAAACTCGAAAGCAAATTGCCATCCAGGCGCAGTTCATGGAGCTGCTTTAAATTATAAAAGCTGCTGGCGTCAACAGTTGCTACAGAGTTATAGGTGAGCCATAGATATCTTAGATCCACCAAGTAGTAAAATGCTTCTGTTGGGATCTTTCGTATGACAGTCTTTTCTATCCGGAGTTTGACGGTGTCCACTGGAACATTTACAGGGATCTCAAACATGTCTGGATCATTACACAGCACAGACCTAAACCACAAAGAAAGTGAGATCATTGAGCATAAAAAGACTTTAAGATAGTAAATGTTTGTTCAGAATCATTGAGTGCCAAAACATCCAGATAGCATTAATGTTTCTTTGCACAAACATAAAAGCTCACTTAATAGTGTTGAGTCTTCTTATGAGCTACTTTGAGTCTCTCTATGGAAAGAAAAAGTGGAATAATAATAATAATAATAATAATAATAATAATAATAATAATAATGTGGTGTACTTGGGTCTTACAATGACTATTTTTTTAGAACCACCACCACACACAATACATAGTTAAAATGATGGAATTTGCTACGACAAGCTCTAGTGATGGCTGCCAATTTGGACAGCTTTAAATGGGAATTAGACAAATTCATGAAGGATAAGACTAGTAGTGGCTATTGGTCCTAATGGCTATATATCATCTCGGGTATCAGGGGCACTTCTCCTCTGTACAGCTTTACTTGTGTCCTGCTTGAGGACAACTCCACTGACATCTGGTTGACAACTATGGAGACAGAATGCAAAGCCAGGTACAAAAAATGGTGGTTTTGTACTACTTCAGGATTAACAGCAGTACGATACGGTATGGACTAGTCACAGGACATAAAACAACCTGCCAGCCTTGAGTCTTCAGTTTCTATGGGTCATTCCTGCTCTGCTTTGCACCCACTTTCTGACTACAAATAGGTTAGATTAAATATAAGAAGGAATCTGATCTGGCATAGCCCCTTTAGAACAGATTAAAAAACAGGAAAAGACTCTCTTGTGTGTGTTGTGAATGACAAAGTATGAGCTACAGTGATTGGTACTATTGAGTCCCAGGCTTTGGCCCAGAAACCTCAGGGCCTCAGAGAATCCTGAACTGGCCATCCTAACCTCAACACTATTTCAGGGGGTTGGACAAGATGGCCCACATAATCTCTTCCAACTCTATGATTCTATTATTTACTTGGCCAAACATCTCAAATAACTAAGAAAGCCTCTTATTATCAAAATGTAGAAAGTTAATATTTTAAAGAGGAAGCCTATATATCCATAATTAAGCTTACAGTTACAGTGGAAAAGACATGGTTAATATATTTCTGTCTTAAAGATGGATACACCCCTTGCTGTATTGTTTTAAATAAGGCATCTGTTTCCACAGACACAGGGAGCTTGAAAGGATCAAGAGCAAGATAATCCAGCCATTTGCCCAAAGAGAAAAACATTTGTTTGTCAGCCTTCTCAATGAAACTTGAATTGTAAGGAATTATGTAATGCCAGCCATGTATCTATACAAACAGAAAGATTTTGATTCAATGTAAGGAGTAAAAACCAACTCCTGTGTATCAATCCTATATGTATCCTCCCACAAAGTTAAGGAATAAAAGACACTTCTATATACATTTCCTCTTGGCAAGATGTGTGTGGAAACGGGTTTTGCATTCTGAAAGCCTCTTGTTCTTGTCATGGGGACTGAATGGGCAAAAGATTTCCAGTGTAATAAAACATTCTTCCACACAATAAAATGGATAACCATCATATGGAAGGAAAACTAAGACCAGTGTACATTTCACATGTTTTTACACAAATGTTGGCCTATGCCTAAAGCTGGACTGGGCAACTTCCAGATATTAGAGCCCAAGTAGAGGGATGCACTGTCACCACCCATCATACCTACACAACACATTTAATATTTTCTTTTTGTGATCCCCAAATGGTTCCCTATGCTGGGGTGCATCTATGCTATATAATTAATTCAGTTTGATACCACTACCATAACCCAATGTCTTCAACCTACTACCATAACACAACTTAGTGCTATGGAAGAATAGAAGTTGAAGTTTTACAAGATATTTAACCTTCTCTGCCAAAGAATATGGGTATCTTAGCAAACGGTAACTCCCATGATTCTATAGTGTTCAGCCATGTGGTGTGAAACTGCTATGATTCTATAGTATAAGTGTACTTCTGCTTGCTGGGTGCCCCAAAATGCCTTTGAGGCACAAGGACCTTTGAGGAACAAGGCCCACACTTTTCTCACTCCTGATCAATGGACTTTTGTTATCTGCACTGTTAATGTTCAGTTTAATTTTTTGAACATAGCAAAATTACCTTAGTCTCAAACTGGTAAAATCCATAGTCATATTAGTCTGGAATATCAGAATTTGCTTTTGCCTGGAAGACAAGATTTTGCCCCATCTTCTTCCATTCCCACTGAGTATGCAGCGTTGGGAAGGATGCATATGGAGTGATGAGAGGGAAAGAGGATAGCTACTCGCTAGCCCAGTAGTTCTCAACCTGTGAGTCCCCAGGTGTTTTGGCCCACAACTCACAAAAATCCCAGCCAGTTTACCAGCTGTTAGGATTTCTAGGAGTTGAAGGTCAAAACATCTGGAGACCGACAGGTTGAGAACCACTGCGCTAGCCAGTTCAATCAACTCAGGCAATCAGTGATGATTGTTTGCACACTGAGAAACCAGGTTTAAATCCCTACTCAACCATAGAAGCCCAGTGGGTGGCCTTAGTGTGTCAAACACAGAGGAAGCCCATTACACACACACACACACACACACACACCCCACCAAACAGGAAAATCTAAGTCCAAAATGACAGCTCATTGTAAATCAGAAACAACTTGAGGGCAAACAACAGCAATGGTTTTGATAGCTTATTTTATGATGTCTTAACAGGATCATTTATGAGCAAATGAGGAAAACTGAAACTTTAAAAATTGATCTGGTTAAGCATCAGAGGTACTCAAAACTTTGGTGAAGCAGGGGCATCATCTTCAAGACATTATTTAGGATCAAAAGTGTCTGAAAAACTTTAGTTTTTCAAACGAAACATTTTAAAAACATTTGTATCAAACTGAGTTGGTGTGTTATGCTGTATCTCCAGTCCAGCTAGAGCACTTAGAAAGATAACACAGAGACTTAGGACATTATCGCATGCAACCTGTAGCATGGCTTTGACACTCCCTAGGAATGAACAGAAACACTCAACACAATGTTGTTCTGAAGTCACTCCGAACCTATATTCAACTTATGCTTCAGCAGTTTGAAAACCAGCAGATGCAAATTTCTTTCAGCCTGTGCAGGTTTGGTAATGAAAAGTAGACATGCCTCTTGAGTAATATACAAAACAGGGGAAGGCTTGTAATTGAAAAATACATCTTTCCTTATTATTATTGTTGTTGTTATTATTATTATTATTATTATTATTATTATTATTATTATTATTTGGCATTACTGATTTTGCAAAACAGCCAGGTGCTGCAAAGCCCCTGTCTAAGCAATGTTTGGCAATGAACAGTAGAAAGGCTTGCAATCACAAGATGCATCTTTGCTTATTTATTAATACTCAAGTTTTAAAAGAAACTGTGCTTCTGAACTTATGGATTGGGAGGATTGGGAGGAGACAGGCCCTGGCAGCTGCAGAAACCTAAAAGTCTTCAAGCACTTGAGGAAAGGATTGGTGAGATAAGAAGAGTGGTTATCCTGACATGCTCCAGCAGCTCAAAGCAAGACTGGCCTGCAACTCCATGACCCATTTTTGGAGCCTCGTGAGGTAAGGTCCTTACTAATCAATCCTCTACTCTGAAATAAGTTCCATGTTAAGTGTTGCTTGTTATCAGCTATGTATGTGCTCAAAGAATTGCACTCTGCTTTTGCAAAAGCTAGGTGATGCTGTAAAATTAAACCCTTTTCATGACAAGATTATTTCCCTTGCTTTTAGAAAAAATAGACTTGAGTGACAAACAGAGTTGATAGACTATAGCATATAGCATGTTTTGCTTTTAATAAGCATTTTCATCATTATATTTATATTTCATCACACTTTAGAAACTGAAATTATTTTGCCAGGGCAGCTTCCTTGTAGTAGGGAATCTGTCCTCAAATTAGATCTTCAATCTAGCCCAAGCACCGTTCACAGAGATTTAAAAATAAAGAAAAACACAGAGTTTGCATACTTTGGTTGTGTTGTGCTAATTGGACCAAGGGATTGGCGTGGGTTGCCCTGTCAAATTTATAATTCCTGATCCAAAGAAAACCAAAGGGCTCAGAAATTCTCTTCTAAACTCAGGGTCCTTTCACATATTTTACAGTTATACAAAGATTGTACAATCATGCATTGATTTTACCTAAACTGTTATGGTTGCATTGTGTGGAATCCAGGGGTTAGCACTTTAGAGACGCACTACAGCTCTCTGGCACTGGATCACATTTAATCTTGGAAGCTAACCAAAGGGAGGGTGCCAGGCTTTAATCAGAGGAAGGCAATGGCAAGCGCCCTTTGAATTCTAATTTCCTAAATAAATTCTATGAAATTCAGTCAACAAGCAACTTATAGATACGATACGATACTTTTAAATTGCAAATCTTAGTATTCCATGGAGTGGAATCACGTTGATTAAGGTGGTATCATAATTCTACATCTGCATAATGTAAAAGGCTCCTTAGTTTATACTTGCTTTCAGTCAAGTAGTTGATCAACATGAACAGAAGGGCTAATAAAAAAAGTCTGGATAGAAGCAGCCTAACTTTTTGGAGCAGCCAAAATAGCAGCTCACACGCTAAGCACATGTCTCTGCAAGCATGAGGGAGTCCTAATATTTCAGAGGAAGAAATTATATTCATAAGGGGAAGTTAATGGGATCAAAGGAGCCCTTGGTGGTGCAATGGTTAAACACTTGTGCCAGCAGGACTGCTGACTGAAAGATCGGCAGTTTGAATTGTGGAGTGGGATGAGCTCCCATCTATCAGCTCCAGCTTCTCATGTGGGGACATGAGAGAAGCCTCCCATAGGATGGTAAAACATCTGGGCATCCCCTGGTCAATGTCCTTGCAGACAGCCAATTCTCTCACTCCAGAAGCCACTTGCAGTTTCTCAAGTTGTTCCTGACATGGGAAAAAAAAGGATCAAAACATCTTCCACCTCACAACAGCCAAGTAAGAATAGGCTGAGCACTGGGCACAGTCTGTTAATGAACCATTATGGGTTATTTATTGCTTAAATAACTGGTGGGTCAACATACTCTTGCCAGTTCCACTTGCCCTTTCTTGTTGTCTAGCGATACTTTTCTGCAGAATCATTAAATGGTACCTCCGTGGCTAAATGCTTTTAAAAAGCTCTTTCCAAAATGTGTGTGCACATGCTTTCAAATCACCTGTTAACTCATAGTGACCCTAATGGGTTTCATGGGGTTTGCTTAGGCATGGATTACTCAGAGGTGGTCTTGTCAGTTCCTTTCTCTGAAATAGTGCTGACAATATCAGGTCTTCCGTGGTGGTTTCTCATCCAAGTACTAACCAGAGCTGAATTGGATGAAAATACCAGGAATATTTCTTCAGGGAAGTATCTAGCTTCCACCTCCTAATTGCTGCATGCAATCCAATTAGATCAGATTTCATGGCCACCTACCTTGTCTGTTCATGTACTTCATTATAAGAGTGCTGCAAACTACCGCATTCAAATTCTTCATCTTATATTGCAATGCAGGAAGAAATAAAAAAAAGCCATACATTTTCCTCCCCCCTCCCCAAATGTTGGCATTGGAGATTATTTTAAATTCCTATGCATCTAAGAGATCTGAAAGAAAATATAAACCTACCTTGTTCCACTGCCGTCGCTTCTGCCATGGTAAATGCAAGTGCATTGAGAAGGACAAAAACTCTCCACTTCTTCAAAAAAGCTCATCACGATGCAGACGGCAGCAATCAGATACATGACTTTCTTGCAAGACAATTGATACATCTAAAATCTAAGACTTTATTTCCATGCACTTACCCTGTGTGCTATGCTGGGGAATGTAGGTACCCCTTAGTAAAAGCAGATTACCCTGGATTAGCTAAGATCTGCATTTACTTAACCTTCAAATGTATTCCGCAAAGGATCAGTTGAAACAGCTTGCTCTTTATTGTGTCAAAGAAGGGATGCATTGCCTTTAAACTACATCCATCTTGAAAGAAGACTGTTTGAATGGAAAATTAATCACTGATTTTTTTAAAAAAAAAAACTTGCTAAGTGTAATCTGCTGTTTAAACTAGACAATATGGGGAAAACAGTTCATCTTTTTACAGAGGACACATTTTATGCAGCAAAGATTTAAGGTTAACATTACAATAGCTTGGGTCCAAGAATATTTTTCTGCCTTATTCACAATATTTTAAAAACCACAAGTAACAGTTGGGTTAATCTACTTTACAGATATAGAGACTGAAATGAGCAGACAGAACTTAAACAGACTGGTAAGTGTTTAATGAAATGTCATAATTAGCAGCAGATGGCACCAATAATCATCAACTATTAATCTTGAGAAATGGGTCCCTATTAATTGAAAACCTAGACTTTACCCTTTGCTCTTCCTTTAAAAACAACCATAGACTGTTTTTTTAAAAGGATTGTTTTCATTTAAGGCTAATCTGGACAGTTAAGAATTACTCTGTAGCAAACAAAATAACTAATAAAAGCTATATTAAATCACATTATTTGTGCATGTGTCCATGAATGTAATTTCTTACTTTTTATTTTAGCTTTTACTTAAGCATTATTTTTTTTGCTTAACTTTTATTACTCGGTCCAATAAAAAGAACACAATTACAAACTGTATTTCTTGCCAAAGTCTTTTCTTTTATTATGAACACTAATGGCACAATCAGTGATACAATTAGGTTAACTTATAAGGATGGAATTCAGGGATCTGCTACCCAAAGGGCTCCCAAAGAAGCAGTGGAGGCCATTAGGAAAGATGAGCAATGGCAAACAGGGCTGGCATTAGCATTTGTGGCATAATGGCAATAGGAAAGCACAACAGGACTGGTGCTACCCAGTCCAGCAGCTTCCCATTCTTCTTATTTTCAAAAACATTTATTAATTGGCGGTAGCTGCACCTTGAAGTCATTTCTGATTCATAGTCATCTCTAGATGAACTTATTTGTCAGCAGGATTTGTTTGGAGGGGGTTTGCCTTTGCCTTCCTCTGAGGCTGGGAAAGTGTGACCTGCCCAAGGTCATCCAGTGGGTTCCCATGTCTGAGCAGAGATTTGAACCTTGGTCTCTAGAGCCATAGTCCAACACTCAGACTTTTACTGGTTACTGGTTAGACATATGCATAGTACAGATGTATTTGCATATTACAAATTCGGATTCTATTTTTTTAAAAAACATGTTATCTGTTTCTACAACAATTTGGTGCCTATTCCCAAGGAAATCTGTTTAGCATCTGGCCAGCAGATGCAAACTCCATTTTATTCCTGTAATCACAACAGTGCTATGATTTGAATTTGAGACAGAAGTGTGCATATCAATACACTTTTTTTCATCAGTGTTGGCAAAATTCTTTGGGTTTTTGCTCTAATGCAGTGGTTACTAACCTTTTGGTCTCCAGGTGTTTTGGACTTCAGCTCCCAGAAATTCCAGCCATCTTACTAGCTGTCAGGAATTGTGGGAGCTGAAATTCAAAACACCTGGAGACCCAAAGGTTGGGAACCACTGCTCTAATCAATAGTAATGTACAAACAATAGGAAAACATGAAATATATTGGAGGGCAAGGAAGAAAGCAACAGAAGGCATGCTTGCCAAAGTTGATAGGCAGGCCATTAGACTTGTAAGTGTGGGTTTTTAATTAGATGTGCAGCTTCCAATAAATTGTCTTCGATAGAATGGTGCATACAGGTTCTTTTGTTCCATCAGATGGCACTGCAAATAGGAATAAACCAAGATTTGGTGCCTGTTACAAAAAAGAAGATAACCCATTCCAGCTTTCCTTCCTTAACAAAGCATTATTTTACAATACACAGCTATTTGTGAAAAAAATGTGACATTCTTTCCAGGGTCTCTTCATACAAAAGATAGAATGAGCAAGTAAACATAGTGGCAGAACTTTTTCCATCAGAATCCTCAAGCAATTGTGCTTTGAGACACACTCATTGGCAAGACATTGTTGATTGTTATCTCCTGATGTGTTTGACATCGGATCATTGCAAGGATGGCCCTTCGAAACCTGCAAGGGAGAGATGTTGTTTTAGTATCAGCATTTGGAAGCAAATGATGCTTTCAGAAAATGTTTAGCATAGAGTGTCACTTCTCACAGTTTTCCTTCCCAGAAGCGTTATCTCCTCTTCCTGATGATCACTTTTCCTTGCATTACCTTTTAGATCTTGTTCATAATCACTTCCCAGAGGGAGGAGACTAATGTATATATTTAAATAATGGAATTTGATCACTTAACAATCTTACTACCACACCTCTATTTACTAGGTGTGCAACAATCATTGGTTCTCCATAAACTTCACTTTGCTCACTTGCTAAAAGAGAGTAAATGAGCAAGAAGCAACAGCAAGAAGGAGAAGGAGGATAATCATCTGCAGAAGGAAAGCTCCAAAGATTGTGGCGAGAGCCCCCAAGGAAGCATTGATTTGGGCAGAAATTGCCAACCACTTCTGGTAAAACCTGACAATCAATAAAGATACATTTTATCTTCCCTTCAGTAACTGGCCATTTAAAAACCAAAGCATAATCACCTAATTATGATGGACTACTTGCATGGGTCCATGACTCTAAGCATCCAAGCATTATCATTTTTTTTCTCCTCCTACCAATACACATTAAATTCCCATAAAGAAACCTACCAATCCTGCATGGACATGAGGGATTCATTAACTGAGAAATGATAAAATCATACTAGAATTGTTTGTTCTTAACATGTGAACACAGAAAAGTATTAAAGAATTCTCAACTTCTACATCAAAATGTAAGGGTGAAATGGCATGTGATATTACTTAATTGTTTAAGAAACAAGCTTAACATGGCAACTTTTATCTTGAAGTATTAAAATAACTGTACATCTACAATCTAGAACAGTATCTCCCCAACTGTGATCCTTCAGCTATCTTGGACTTCAACTCCCAGAAGCCCTAGCCAACTTGGTTAGGAGTCCAGATTTCTGGGAACTTACATCCAAAAATCAGGATAACCAAATTTGGGAAACACTGACCTAGAACTTGCAGTTGTGGTCCAGACCCTAGTCCAGATCCTTTCTGAAAATCCCTCCTTCTTAGATGCATTTTGCTCCCCAAAGAGCATGGTTTGAGGAGTACTTTTCAGAAATAAATTGTCTTCTCCTCATAGAACAGTCAAGGATATACACTGTGAAAGAGGTAAATGATCTACGGCAGTGGTTCTCAACTTGTGGGTCCCCATATGTTTTGGTCTTCAACTCCTAACAGCGGGTAAACTCAAGATTTCTGAGAAAAGTAGGCCAAGACACCTAGGCACCCACAGGTTGAGAACCACTGATCTACAGTATTCCTCAGACCCCACTCTATCCATCAACAGAATCACTTACTTTTTGTTTGCAATGACATAAATACAGGGATTATAGAATGTAGATGATTTTGCAAATAGTGGAGCTATGATCGCCATGGCAGGAGAAATTTTCTTGGGGTCTCCAAAGGATGACCATAAACACACAATGGAATATGGAGACCAAGCCAATAGAAACATTACAATCATGACAACAGACATCTGTAAAAGAGAACAGACATATGGTAATCTTACAAAAGAATTGTGGTTCAATAGCAGCATCTCTTTGACCCATTCTTCATATCTTCAAACTACCTAGGTTTTTTTTTTCTTTTTTGCTCATACATGCCTTTCAACAGCATTGATTCACGTCTATGTAGATTATTTAAGACTTAGATTTTTTAAAACAAAAACAAAAATATTTAGAGGATATGTGTTTCACTACTACTTAAGTCAAATTCACAGGGGATAAACTCTACATAATAGATAGGAAAAAGAAAGAAACTGAGTGGACTGGGGAATGTACAGTATTGTACAAAAGTACGTAGCAGATTTTAAAAGTACCTGTAGAAGTGCAGGTAAAGTCAGTGAGGCTAAATACAACTCTAAACAGGAACTGCTTAACCAGTCATCTAGGTCAACTAGTGACTATTTATATTGCAGGGACAAGGAGCATTTGGCCTTCCAGATGTTTTGGACTTCAATTCCAAGAAATCTCAAATAAGATGGTCAATGGTAAGGAACTGTCGGAGTTGTGGTTTAAAACACATGTAAAATATCTGGTCTTCTACCCTGTTTTATTACTCAACCTCCCATAAGCTCCTGAAGCCCCTTCCACACAGCTGAAAAAAACCCCACATTATCTGCTTTGAACTGGGGGCCCTTCCACACAGCCCTGTATCCCAGAATATCAAAGCAGAAAATCCCACATTTTCTCATTTGATGTGGAATATATGGCAGTGTGGGATTTTCTGCCTTGATATTCTGGGTTATATGGCTGTGTGGAAGGGTCCTGAGAAGGAGGGAGAGATAGAGTGAGAAAATAACACACCATGGACTCTTGTTTGCCCTGTTCCATATTACAGCATTTAAGAGCATCCCTGCAAAAAATCACCATACCTTTGTTACATCAACTTGATCAGACCAATCTATATTGATGCTTTCGAGGCAACTGTTTCTCATGTAGTACTTCATTGTTTTTGAAACGTTGTAGTAACAGTAGAACATGACCGATAAGGGAATAACAAAATTAACAGCAATTACAGACATAGTGTAAGAAATAAAGGATCTGAAAGGGAAAAATACAGAAATTACTAGAATCTGCATTCTAGATTTATGTTCAGTTTACACTTAAACGTTTTCAAATGTTCTAAAAATATTTTGAATTAAGATGCAACACCCCATAACAGCAGCAACATTTCAGCCTCATATAGATGAACACCCGGCAATCTTTTGCCTGTTTAAGGAATTAATTCCATTGAATTCTATGGGGCACATTTCCAAATAGTGGTATCTAAGGTTGCGCCGCCAGAATATTTCAATCAATTCTCCATGGGAAAATGTCTTGTTTTGCTTTGTCAATAGTTTGAATATTGTGCCATGTGTCACTCTCTTTGTCCAATCTGCACACAGTGCAGTAAAGAGGAATATTTTGAATGTTATTTTTTTGGCCAAGATTCTACAAACTTTTGCCATAGTGTCAGTATATACAAGCATAGTTACATGCAACTGAGTAGTGTGTGCCAAGCTTTCAGTTCACCTGCTTTACAAGGATCTCTCTACCCACCAAATCAAAAGTGCCTGCAGAATGAACACCTGTAACAAGGGAACCCAGGTTATCTGTGCTGATGATTTTTTGCACGATTACGTCCCTTATTTCTACATGACAAAGAAATCACAAGGGCTTTCTACATTAGTGAGAACCAAGCACTCTCATGATGTGGAAGCTCCAAAGGAAGCTTACAATGAATATCGTCTATTGAAGAGAAGTCATCTAAGACAATGATGCCGTCATGCCCCGCCTATACATTTCTTACATACATCTGGTTAGTTCCATCAGAAATAGGGTTAGATGGACAAACTGGTCCAACAAGGGCCTTCATATGTCATGGAAGGGCATCCAGTCTTACATTCTTCCAGAAGGAAAAAGGGATCCCACATCTACTGCACCTTGGCAATACTTCCTCCTCTTCTCTTCCTCTCTCTGTCACCATGATGTGTTTTCACAACATGGCATCAGGTGGCTCAATGGGCTCTTTTCCACATTCAGACTACCTTCTCCCCTCTATGACTGCTACCAGCAATGGTTGCTCTTCTCCTCTTTTTTAAAATTACTCCCACTAGAAAGAGCACATCTGTGGGGAAATTATTAGACACTGTTACTGATATGTGAACTTTTCTTATGTACCACTATGCCAGTCTGTAATACTGCTTCTTGACACAAGTACAAGCATAAGTACAAGACTATGAACAAGCACAAGACTATGAACACATACAACTGAAAACATACGTGTCATTTTTCCTCCAGTTTACAGTACAGGTAGCTCCAGTTGGATCTGGGGCGTAGCTTGCCCATCCCACAACAGGCATGGAAGCCCAAAAAAGTGCATTGATCCAGGCAGCAAGAATCAGGGTTGTGTAGTTGCTTGCAGTAAGTCTACTACCTATCGACAAATATACAATATTATTTTTACTTATTCTTTTCAAGCAGAAATTCTATACTGAAGCAGACACACAAAGGTTTGTTTTAAAGAGAACGAGATGTATAAATCTATAAACAGAATTACTAACTTTCCAGAAAAGTTCTCATATATGCTAATATTCATGGGAACCAAAGTCTAACAGACATGGCTGACATGACATTGTCTTAAGTGATAATATTACCCCAATGCTGCCATTTGTTAAAATGTTCTGCCTTACAGCCTTCTTTTTTCCATGGAGCAACCACACATATCACCATACCAATCTAAACAATTTTGGTATTTTTACTGGCATGCGCTGGTCCATGAAGTCACGAAGAGTTTGAAACAACTGAATGAATAAACAACAAAACCACTGAAGAATTTTAATAAAATTGACAGATCAGAAAGAACGGGCTGAAATCTCTGGAAATTGCTATTCTTCCTTGGATTTCTAAACAGGAAGGCAAATCTTGGTGAACGATGCTGGAAAAAGTTCATTTCTTTGTGTTTTAGGTGGCATTGAAGTCTCAATATCTATTTCCAAGCATTCCCAGATGACATAAAAACTTACTAGATCAGTATGGAGATCTTGCCATATGTGATTCTATATGTGATTCTATATGCAGAATAATAATTTACAGAATACAGATTTATTCAGTAAGAAATAGCCAACATGTAAATTGTATACCTAATTACATATTACTATAGATTTTCTAAATGAGAAATATTTTTATAACATACCTATATGCGGCTTGCAGATTGTCAGATAACGATCAATAGCAACAACAGTAAGCAAACCAATACTTGCCATTCCAAAGAAGATATTTAAAGCAGCATAGACCTGAAATTTTAAAAAGGGGAAATCCATCATTTTAATCTTCATTTTTTTCTTACCATGCATTGTTGCATATTGTATTCAGTAGTGGATACAACCATTTAATAGTCTTTCAATATCATCACTGTTATCCCCATCATTGATTTCATTTTGGCTTTTATCTTGCCATTTTTAAATTTCTGGTTTAGGTTGTTCTGCTTTATATGTTTTTTAAAAAAATAACTATAGAAATTTTATTGAAGAAAGAAAAGGAGAAAGACATAGAATATGGGTATGTATTAGGTGTATACATTGGCATAAGCTGACCATATATGCAAAACCAGGTTTTCTTGAAGCTGACATTCATCCATAACTAAAGCAGTTAAGATCTACTAATCACTGAACAATAACTGAAAGATGGAGATACAACAAGGCAGGGATAAGAGAAAACTTGCTAAGACAGCCATCTACTGGCAACCTGTTACCAGTTTTATCTTTATTTTCCATCATTTCTGGCTTCCATTCAGCCATCATCCTTCTCATACTTCTCAAAAGACTATCCAATTTACTATGTTATAAGCTTTTGTGGACTTGAACCCATTTCACCAATCGAGTACTTGCTAAAATCCAAGTACCTGGCAACCTGTGTAGCCAAATTTCCAACTTCCATGCAGGTCAGAAGCTGCAGACATGGGGTAACCAATTCCACTCACACCAATATCAGTGAAAGCCAGGTTGATAATAATAGCATTGGTTGCTGTCCGAAGTTCCTTGTACTTAACAAAGATGCCTAGCACAACTATGTTACTGAGAAGGCTTATGACCCCTGTCAAAAAACAAAAGAAGTATTAGTACAGTATTGGTATACATTACCCCCCCCCCCCCAATACAAACAAATCACAGTCTAGATCTCTGTTTTGTAAGGATTCATTAGATATCCTGCACTGAAATTTAAATTGATTGTTAAAGGAGCTGTCCAAGGTACCAATCTTTGGATATTCAGCACCTTGGATAGATCCTCCAAACCTGGACTAAACTTGGGTCCACTACCTGACCAATGTGGGAGCCACCACACAATTCCTATGCAAATTATCCATACATACATAATGTTAAACAACATTTGCCTGCCGGATTCAATTAACTGGACTGATACAATGCTTTCCATGTGAAACCATTTTTTAAAACTGTATAGACTCTTTCACATTGCCATGACCACAGTTAAAATTGCACATGTCCACTTACTTTTGAATTTAAAGAATGGAATCTATTAACTTAACAACCTCACCACCACACCTCTATTTACTGGGGCAACAATCGACAAAACATCACTAACACCGCACAGTAGAATATAGTTGAGATAAATAAGTAACGTAGAAGTAATATGGCAATGAAAGGGCCCATTCACATACCCAAGAATTTGCAAGCCAGATGGTTTGTGGAAAAACAGCATACTGTATATCAATTTTTTTGTTTCCAAGAGGAAATATAGCGCATAAAATCCCCCCACACCAGTTTTCCCTATGTATGCATCTTACTCTTTGTCAATAGCTATTCAGACTATCAACAGATGGTCATCTATATATTCTCTGTACAATACTTGTTAAAACAAAACACCAGGAAGCATCTCTCTTGCAAGCTGAAACTCAAAAACTGATGCAGTTCGGAAAGATGTTTCTGTGTTGAAAAATGAAAGCAATAATAACTTGCAATGAAGCTAAACACTCCAGCAATAGGCTTCGAGGAATCTTAACTGCTTCTCGACAATTTCAGGTCTTAATAATAATAAATAAATAAGCTTTATTTATTCCCCGCCCCATCTCCCCAGGGGATTCGGAGAGGCTCACAGCATGAATAATACAACAAAATGCATAAAAACACAATAAACAATTAATGATACATACAAGATAAACCATGACACAATTAGAAAATTAATAATAAGATTATAAAACATTAATTGAATTAAAACTTTCAATTAAAAATACAGTCATTCCTATGAGCTACGAGGGGACCTACTTGCATGTTTTGTCTCATTGCCAACACTAGTTAGTGGTCCTGCATTCAGCCTTTTGGAAAATTCTTGCTGCTTATGTTGGTCTGACGAAGGGGAATATCCTCATACTTTTTCTATTAGTTATGAACCTGGACCTCCAAGGGCAGGCACTAGCAATATCTAGCATCATGTTTTATTATATGGGTAGAAGAACCTTGTCAAAATGTAATTGAGAGACATTAATCTAATATACCAAGAACAAAAAGCATGTAATGAGAGTTTGTGACTTGTCCAGGATCACCCAGTGGGTTTTCAAGGCCGATACAAACCCTGGTCTCCAGAGTTGTAATCCAACACTTAAATCACTATGCCCATGCTGGCTTTCCAATAAAGTAATGGTGTTGCTTTTGTTGCCCTGACACTGACCATGTGTGCTTGCGAATGAGCTCTGTTTTATTGCAAAATAAAAATGTTTAAATAGTAACATAAAAATCCACGATCCCCTGCCTGGCCAACTGCCTCACCTGTGGAAAGAAATGTAAAACCTTCAAGATCAAAACAAACCCTCATCAATGTGTTGTCAAAGGCTTTCATGACCAGAATCATTGGGTTGCTGTGAGTTTTCCAGCCATACAGCCCAGAAAACTCACAGCAACCCAGAAACCCACATCAGTCCAGGTACATATTGAAGCCCTGTATGTCACAAGCCTATCATGTGCTACTTCCTGGATGGCCATTTTTCACATCCTGGCCATCATTATGTGTATGGATGAGTACAACCAATCATTTTCCCAACTTATGCAACTTATCAAATCCTTTGCAAGTGAAACATGCAGCTGAAACAAGACTCAAAACGTCTTACCACCCAGTTTTCCCTTATGATAATTGTACCATTTCCCATTAAATACACACAAGGAGACACCTTGTGTGTTTTCTGTGTTTTCTCATGGTCTTTGGAGACCACTCTGAAACCCCCCCCCTTGCGACGCCCCCGGGGGTCCTGACCCCCAGGTTATGAAACGCTGCTTTAGAAGGATAAGATGTTTGAGGCTAAGTATTCATATGGTTATTCCCCTGTCAAAAACTTAAAAAATTATATAACCACTATGGAAGACTTTATGTAAGATATCTAATGACATCAGATCTTTGTAGTTCCTGTTCTTTGTTTCCTTTGCCAGTCCTTTTTATGGAAATAGGTGCTTTGTGTTTGTTTGATGCTATAGCAGACTAAAAATGCAAATAATTTTCTTTCTTAAGGTAATTTAAATGTTATCTTCTGCTTTCTGCCAGCTTCTCATAAAATGGAAAACACCATAGCAATTCCTTACGGATCAGCTCTTCTCCATGTTATGAAAAATAAAATGGTTTAAAAAGCAAATTAAATTAGTAATTATCTGGAAAAACTGTATGTGTAATATATTAAATATATCAAATTAAGTTATACATAATATTTTTTACATGTCTAAAATAACAAAGTGATTTTCAGTCTTTAAAGGAAGCCAATATCACATTCAAACTTCTCCAAAAATGAACCAGAAAAATGATTCTGTCCCTACAAACTTCAACCATTCTGGAAATTTTGCAACTCGGTTATGCAGTTCTATCAATATTCATACCTGCTGTGATCAAATAAGCTGCGACTATGTTGTGTTCACTCTGGGAAAAAGCAGAATGAGGTTCATCGTCACTTTCCGAAGAGTTAGCAGAATCGTTCAAAAACATTGCAGGGGAAAGAAAATTGGGAAATAAGTTTCCAGAGCTAACTTGTGAAAGGCCATTCACTAGAACAAATTAAATGAAAAACAACACCACAGCAAGTCTTTTCGGGAAAATTCTTGCTCTCCAAAATAGTCTATAGTTCTTCCTGGATGAAAAGCTCCCAACAAGATTTTAAGAAAAGAGCCAAGGGGTTTACATTCCCAGCCTTTGGAAGGGGGAGAGGCTTTGTGAATTCAACAAAGAACAACACAGAGCTTGTGGGCATTTCCAACAAAATGCTTATGCTCCGTGGCCTTATTACTGAAGAGATTAGCGATCACATAAACCCCACACTTTGTACTTCCAACTTTTATTCCCCTCCCCGCTGTTTCCATTCTTTCATGTAATGTTGCAAAAAGTTTGCCTACAGTTGATTACTTTTTCAACTTGCTTCAGAAATCTGAAGGGCTAAGATACACATACACAGTCAGTAATCCAGCAAAAGTATGCTGCTCTCAGCATCACTTCCATCAGACAGGACAAACCCACTCCAGTTTACACAAAACTATATATATATATATATATATATATATATATATATATATATATATATGATTTTGCAGATCCTAATTTGAAATGTTGAAACCTGCCCTTTCCTCTTAAATGTCACTGAAACAATTACTCTACGTCAAAATCTTCATTTCTCCTGGGTTGAATTTTAGATTATAGTTTGTTTTGAATCTAAGAAACCATTTAACCAAATGAAATATGGCCAACACAAAACCGTACTTTTAAAAATGATTTTTAGTGTACAACTACATTGTAGAATTAATGCAGCTTGACACCAGCTTAACTGCCATGACTCAATGCTATGGAACCACAGGAGTTGGCATTTTAGAAGGCCTTTTGCCGTCTCTGCCAGAGTGCTGGTGCCTCAGCAAGCTACAAATCCCAGGACCCTGTAACATTGAGCCATGGGAATTAAAAGTGATATCAAACTGTTCCACAGCCCCTTTAGTCTTGTCACTTTTGTTTCTTTAAATCAGTGGCTCCCAACATTTTTTTTGGCCAAGGACCACTTTGACCAACATTAGTACCAAAAGGGTGACAAATCAGTTTTGGTGAAATTTAGATTCGGTTTAGTTATTTGGGGTGCTGATTCAGAAAACTGCATGGGGTACACCACATCAGCTCTAGTTTTTGATACAGAACATATGCCACCCAGTAGTCACCATCTGCTTGCCCACAGAAAACTGTATGTAATAATCTAGAGCTGATGTGGTGTATCCAGTGCAATTTTTTGAATCAGCACCCCAAATAACCCCAGGGACAGGCCTAAAAGCAAAGATACCAAGGCTTTTAGGCCTGTCCCTGGGGCACTCTTCCAGGTGCCATATGGAATGGCTCCGCTCAGGGGGAGGGAGGAGGAGAAGCAGTAGTCAGGAGGCTTGTTGTCACACCTTTCATGGGGAGTCAGCCTCTCCCCTCCTGAAATCCCCGTTGCCTCGGTACTATAAAAGGGTTTCATGAGACCAGTCACTCTTGTTGCAACGGCATAGTAATGGTGCGGCTATGAACCATATTTTAGTTCTTGGGCAGCACTGGTGGTCCACAGACCACAGGTTGGGAACCACAGCTTTAAATCTATCACTTGTTTCTGGTTTCCTTTCCATATTTTCTGCTGTTTTCTCTTCTCCTTTCATTGCTCTTTCCACTTCTCATTTGCCTCTCCCGTCTACCCGACCCCATTTCTCATCTCCTGATATATATTTTTTGTTCTCCCTTGCTTTTTCATCCTCTCCTCCTCTTTTACCTAAGCAGAGCCAAATGACAATCAAAGTTTTCAAAGGTGTACACTCCCTGAGCAGGATGACTTATAACATTTATTAGTCAAATCTCCCATGCATTGTCCACCTAAAAAGGAGCTTGTTTAAGGCTCGCAAAGGAAAAAAATCCTCCTTTCTTGAAGACACAGTGGTACACTCATTTTCTATGGAAGGGGTCCTGATTTGGCTTCAGTCCTATCCAAAAGGCCTGATAAAATAGTTTGTTTTCAGGCAGCCAAGAAAGGAAGGAATGTGGGAACCAACGATATAAGGACAAAGTACTATAAGCATATTTATTGTGTTATCACAACCTTTTAAATCACTGTCAAGTTGGTTCATATATTTCATATTGAGACATTAGTGCTTTCTGGAGGGGTAAAACAATAGGATATCTGCAAATTTGGTTCCTAAGATTTTTTTTGTTAGGATTCTTAAGACACTCAAAGAAATTTATGGTGTATCTATGCAAGTTAAATGCAAAACTGCTTGTATAGCAAGAAATAGGAATGAAAATGTAGTGGACAAGAAAGCACTATGAAATATTCATCAGCTGAAAAAAATATATACTACTTGTGTTAGAAAAATAAGTGGCAAATTATGATATCAGCAATCCTAGAATAAACCATTGTATAAGAAACTTAAAGTGATTTTTCATTCCTACTGAAATGGAAAGACTTCTTCCAAAGCTTCCAGTCCTCTGTAGACTAATGGACGGCACTCAAACTAAGTTACACATTCCAAGTTCAATTTAAACCAACCATAGCTAACTTCTCACATGATTTAAACAATAGAGTCTCGCTTATCTGACATAAATGGGCTGGCAAAAGGTCGGATAAACAAAAATGTCGGCTAATACAGAGTCTCCTACTGTTACCCGTCCAATGCGATGCTAGAGACCTAGAATACTAACAACGGGGACCCTAAGGGTTAAGCCAAGGCAATGTCTTGGGGCTAGAGCAACCCACCAGGAAGTGCCCGGATGCAGAAGAGGAGTGTGAAAACCACAGAGGGAAGGAGGGAGGACGCTTCCACTTCTGGTCCTGCCTCTTTTCCCCCTTTCCTGAAGAAGAGAAGGCTGAGAGGAGATATGATAGCCATGTATAAATATGAGAGGAAGTCACAGGGAAGAGGGAGCAAGCTTGTTTTTCTGCTGCCCTGGAGACTAGGGCACGAAACAATGGCTTCAAACCACAAGAAAGGAGATTCCATCTGAACATTAGGAAGAACTTCCTGACTGTGAGAGCCTTTCAGCAGTGGAACTCTCAGCCCCGGAGTGTGGTGGAGGTTCCTGCTTTGGAAGCTTTTAAACAGAGGCTGGATGGCCATCTGTCAGGGGTGCTTTGAATGCAATATTCCTGCTTCTTGGCAGGGGGTTGGACTGGATGGTCCACAAGGTCTCTTCCAACTCTAGGATTCTATGATTCCTCCCTTCTCCTTGTCTTGCCTTTTTTACTCATTGGGAATGGAGAGTTAGGGAGCACTCCTTTAATTGAAGAGGAAATGCTGGAGGAAAAGGGAGGCATTTGAGAAGAGCATCGGATAAGATGGAGTGTTGAATAAGTGACAGTCGGATAAGCGAGACTATACGGTACTTAAATTCAACTTAATATGTACATAAGCCCTTTTAATGTTTCAAAGTAGATGAATTGTTTTAAGTTTATGAGCACTCCAAATGTCTGGGTTTTTTTTCTGAAATAGCCCTTCTGTACCATAGATTTGCCTAATTCATACAGTAAGCAGTACAGAAATTGATGCTTCATTTTTCAGAATTCAAAACTTAGGTCTGGCACAGAAGATTCATTACTTGCACTAATTTCCACTAACATTTCCTAAAATCATTGAAAAGGGAACAGCTTAGCTGCCATGTAGAACTTTAAAAAATGCTTTAATGATTGCATATTGTTTTAACATATTGGTCTGCTTTTCATTTTAGGATATTACAGATCAGATCTCCAGTTTATGTTGTTGTTATTGTCGTCATAGCTGATATTATGATACTACTAAATACACCAGAACTGTTCTTAATATTCAAGAATTCTTTGGCTCTTTGATCAACATTATACTACTACAGGCAATCACTTGTAGCCAAGTATGATTGTCTTCCAAGGGTAAACTCTTGACAATGGGTCCGCAAGTGACTGTAGAGACCTCTTCTTGATCTGCATTGTCTTTCACGACGAGGACACAGATTTCCAGATGAAAGACAGTCACGACAAGGATTTACTCGATGCACTTTCCTCTTAGCATGTTTCTCCTTTCACACTCTATTCGTTCCTCTTCAAAATCTATAGCACCGTGTATGTATATGATATAAAACCAAATCTCATATGAGTCTTAATTGCCCATCCTTCTGAAAGTTGAAGAACAAAATTAGATGCCTCAACAATCTCCCTAAATAGATGATCTTCATTTCCTTACTAAAGCTGCTTCAGATTTTTCCCCCTAAACTTAAAAAACAATGTATTGACAGACAATGTACTTCCATGCCTTCCATCTCATTATTTAGGAGAGAGGAGCAGATGAAAAGCAAAAACACACACAGCTTGCCAATCAGTATTATGCGTATCTTTGCACTATAGCACAATAAATGTAGTTTTAGCTCCACTTTTAAGAAAGTGGTTCCCAACCTTTTTTTTAATAGGGACCACTTGACCAGGGACCACTCTTCAACATTTGTATCACAAGGGTTACGAATCACTTTTTGGTCAACTTTAGATTCAGTTTGGTTTTTTGAGGTTCAGATTCAGAAAATTGCATTGGTCTAGTTTCTGATACAGAACACATGCCATCCGGTAGTCACCATCTGCTCCCCCACAGAAAACCATATTTAATAAGGCTCGGTACTATTAGAGGATTTCGCGAGACCAGTCGCTCTTGTTACAACAGTGTAATAATGGGGAGGCCATGGACCATGTTTTAGTTTCTGCTGACCACTGGTGGTTCATGGACTGAAGGTTGGGAACCACTAATTTAAGAAGACATATGAGCATTTGATTTATCATTCATTCTAGAGCTTAAATTTATTTCAAATCAGCAGTCCTGAAATCATGTTTAAAACTGACAATAACTGAAACACAAAGAGCAAAACAAAAAAAATCTGAAACATTCGTATTTTGTGCCACAAATATTTAAACTGTTTTTATAAGTTAACTGATTCCCCAAAATCAAGAAGAGATTTTTGATATAAAAAATAACTTCGTAAAAAAGTTGTAAAATATTGTTCCATTTAATGCCAGCTGCCCAAGGCAAGATCCAAGCAGTTTCAAAGTAAGCAGCTGCGCTTCTTAAATTGTTCCACCTTAATAGACATCCATGAAGTATAGTTGTAATCGTTTCAAATTACTGTATGCTTCAAATAGTCCATTCAAATTCATAATAAATCCTTTCGTTGTATTTTGAAGATGCAGCCGTAACGTATTGTTTTATTTTAACGTCCTCTACCTGATTTGAAAGAAAACAAGAAAACAACTTAGATTCCTCAGATCTAATTTGGAAAACATGCAAACTATTGTATAATTAGTTCCTTCAAAAATAGGGTGTAGTATTTCTGCATCATTAGTGACAATCCAGCAAAGGACAGTGGTGAGTATGACCTGCAATAAATGTCTGAGGGCCCTTCCAGACAGGTCCTTTATTCCAGGATCCAATCCCATGTTTTTATTTTATTTTAAACTGGATTATATTAGTATGCACTGCCAGATAATCTGGGATAAAACAGAAAACCTGGGATCGGATCCTGGGATGAAGGGCCCTCATTTTCTCATTGGCCCACCACATTACCTGGGATTTGGGGCACAAGGTCATTCTGCAACACATTTTGCTTTGACATAATCAAGAAGGCATTACAGATGCAACCAACTTCCTTCTGTGGTTGCATGTTGAATGGGAGGAAAATTGACAGACATGGCATTGATGAACAGAAACCTACCTTCCCTAACTGGTAAAAATACCATGATATGCATACAAAGAACTCCTGGAATATTCTGAAACCCTTAACTGAACCGAATACATTACTAAACATTCCTCAGAACAGGTTATGCATTTCAAAAATCAACAATGCTAAATGCTTACCTCTGAACCCTCGACCGCCACCTCCACCACCTCGTCCTCCTCTGAACCCTCCACCACCTCTGCCACCCCTGAAACCACCTAGAAATAAGAGAACACAGGAAGGCAAGTTAAGATTTTTATGGTAATAAACAAACACATTGATAGTAACCATGTTTTGGACTTCCACAATTTCTAACAGCCCACCAGTGTCGAAATTTGCCCATGTCTGATTTAGAAAAACCTTCAAGGGGCATCTAATGACAACAATTCCCCCAAGCTGATTGCAAGAGTTATAGTTCAAAGCACTCAGAAAGCATCAGACTGGGAAAGGGTGCTCTGAACACATGCAAGGACGAAGGCAGCCTACCTCCGCCTCTACCACCTCCTCGGCCTCCTCCTCTTCCTCCGCGGCCTCCTCTCCCGCCTCTAGGAGGTCCTTTCTCTCCAGGAGGCCTTGGCAAAAACCTCTGCAGAGGGAGCAATTTTGCCGGATCGATATAAAACTGAAACAGAAGGCTTTTATTACGATTTGTCAACTCTTTCAATATCATGTTTGCATACATAAAATATCTTAAAATAGGAGATGTACAGTTCAATTTTACAGTATCATTCACAAAAACCCAGAGTCATGTTGCATCTTTAGACTGGGTTGCTGTAAGTTTTTCGGGCTGTATGGTCGTTCCACAAGCATTCTCTCCTGACATTTCACCTGCATCTATGGCAGGCATCCTCAGAGTTTGAGGTCTGACCAGCCATGAAAGCCTTCGACAACATATCTTTCGACTGTCAAATTAAATTAGCCTTGTTTTTATTGAAGAAAATATTGGATGATGGAACAGAAGGCATGCTCATCAAATATACAGGTGACACCAAATTAGAAGGGACAGTTAATAAGACAGTATCAAAATGACCTTAACAGATCAGAGATCTAATAAACTAATAAAATGAATTTCAACAGGAAGAAATGTATGGTACTATATTTTGGCAATAAAAATGAAATGCACCGCTATCGGATGGGTGACACCTGGCTTGAAAACTGTACATGTGAAAGGGATCTAGGAGTTTTAGTAGACCACAAGCTCAATATGAGTCAACAGTTTAATGCGGCAGCTAAAAAGCCTTCAAGGCTGCATTAATAAGAGTATAATATTGAAACCGAGGGAAGTCACAGACCTCCCTCAGCCTAAAAACATCATATTTGATGTTTTTAACTGTTTGTATTTTAATGTATTTATTTATTTTATTGATGTGTATCTATATGGCATTGAATTGTTGCCTTTGTAAGGCCACTCTGAGTCCCCTTCAGGGTGAGAGGGGCGGGATACAAATGTGGTAAACAACAGACCCACTCTATTCTGCTTTAATCAGACCTCACCTTGAATACTGTGACCAGTTCAAGAAGGATATTGACAACCTGAATATATCCAGGGAAGGGTGACCAAAATGATCAAAGGTTTGAAACTAAACCCAGTGAGAGATGGCTTAGGGAACTGGGTAGTTTGGAGAGATTAAAAAAAACCTATGAGGGAAAGTGATAGCCATGTTTAAATATTTGAAAGGATGTCACACTGAGGAGGGGGAAAGGTTTGTTTTCTGCTGCTCTGAGAACTAGGAAATAGAACCATTGATTTAAATTGCTGGAAAAGAGATTCCACTTAAACATTGGGAAGAATCTCCTGGCAGTAAGAGCTATTCAGCAGTGGAATATGCTGCCCCAGAGTGTGGTGAAGTTTCCTTCTGTGGAGATTTTTAAGCAGATGCTGGATGGGCATCTGTCAGGGGTGCTTTGATTTTGTCTTCTGCATTGCAGGGGGTTGGAGTGAATGGCCCTGTGGTTTCTTGCTACTCTAGGATTCTATCATTCTCATACCATTTTCTTTCTATTGCTGTAGCCAGAGTTTTGTGGACTACAAATCAATTGATCAACATGTTATTATTTGTAATTCAGTTATTAATGACTAAATATTATTTAACAAATTTAGTAAGTTAGTCAAAGGTTTACATTTATTGAAGATAACCTTACCTTTTGTAGTTTTTTGAAGGAAGACGCTTTCATATTGTCTGACAGTTTGACTGAAAAATACTATTAAATTTGCTTAAGGAAATCACTTGAAAAAGCATTTTATATCTCCTCCATAAGCATATTAATGGTTAACTCTTACACAAAGCCCAAGTCACACTTATTAATCGTAACTGGCTATAGTCCATTGACTTCAGTGTGTTTACTCTATGGCCCCTTTGACACTGCCATATACTCCAGATCCACATTATCTGCTTTGAACTGTGTGTTTTATTGTTTTTATTGCGTTTATATGATTTATACTATATGTTAATGTTTTAACTATATTTTATGTTGTTGGGGGCATTCGATTATGCTGATTGTAAACCACCTTGAGTCGCCTTCGGGCTGAGAAAGGCAATATATAAATATAATAAACAAACAAACAATATATGAGTGCATACTGCCATATAATCAGTCCATAGCAGATAACCTAGATATTATATGGCAGTGTAGAAGGGGGTCTAAATCTGAATAAAACTAATTTCTGCCTTTTAAATAATTAAATTAGAAAATAAACTATGGAAATTCTGAGAACTTGAGGAATACAATACCCTTCTTCCTGTTTGTTTTTAGGAATGATCTGTATCATTGTGTACTATCACTCCCATTTTTAAAAAATCAATACAGAAAATAATGAGAAGATATTAACGATAAATCTTAAAATGCAATGAAGACTAAATAACCACCATGAGAAGAACATTTCAGTGTCAAGGATTTTGTTACACTCTCAATTTCTGAAAATCTGGCGTTGGCCGTAGGCACCTCCAAGGTCAGCATGACTACATGGAGCACTGTTACTTTCCTGCTGGAGCAGTACCTATTGATGTACTCACATTTGTTTGTTTTCAAACTCCTAGGTTGGCAGAAGCTGGGGCTAACAGCAGGAGCTCACCCTGTTCCCCAGATTCGAGCCACCGATCTTTTGGTCAATAAGTTCAGCAGCTCAGCAGTTTAACCCATTGCGTGACATAGGATGGGATATAAGTGTTTAATAACTCAAAGGATACAAAGTCTCTGAGCTGCCCGAATATTTCATCCACTTTCCCAATCTGCTCTTTATTTTCTAAATAGACTGGTGCATTGAAATAAGGCACTTTGTTTTCTTGAGTGACACATTTGCAAACAATATCGTCTTCACAAGGGTGCATAAATTCTCCCAGAACTGCAAAAGAGACAGCAAGAAGTCAGTCACAATATTTGCCACAATATTTTCTTCCAATTCCATTAGAAGTGCATACCACTTACTGACTACACTTTCAGGGGGTCCCTGATCATATCCACCCCTGTTGAAGCCTCCTCGTCCTCCTCCACGTCCAAAGCCTCCTCGTCCTCCTCCACTTCCAAAGCCACCTCTTCCACCACCACGATTGAATCCACCTCTATTGAAGCCGCCTCCGCCTCGGTTGAATCCACCGCCACGGTTGCCTCCTCCTCTTCCTCGAAATGACATCCCTCCCTTCTGTTCAACAGAGAAATAGCAACAAAAGCAACACATTTCTAGCAAATAATATTCACTGTGCCAGTCACATTAGCTGGTGTTATGGGTAACACAAAATAGTCCATAAAACAATCCAGCAGACAGCACTTTGTAAGCCTTTCCAGAAGCTCAGTGCTCATTAAAATTATATTTTAGAGCAGTGGTTCTCAACCTGTGGGTCCATAGATGTTTTGGCCTTCAATTCCCAGAAATCCTAACAGCTGGCAAATTGGCTGTGTTTTCTGGGAGTTGTAAGCCAAAACACCTGGGGACCCACAGGTTGAGAACCACTGTTTTACTATGAGAAACAGCAAAAATGTAAACACTGTAAAAATAATTGTGCTGTTTTTTAATGTTGTGAGCCACTTTGTGACAAAAATGTAATAATAACAATTCTTATGCAAAATCTACTAGTGTAAACTTCATCTGGTTGCGGATGACATGATAAATAAATTAAAAAAAAATCATATTGCTTTGTAACAAAAACAAATAGGTAGCACTCCAGTATTTCCAGCAGCTTGGAATTAAATTAAAACATAGATATGTAGTTATGGCAGTGCAGATCCAGGTTTTGCTAGGTATCAAGATTGGGTGTACAATGGAATTTGTTGTATTGAAATACCAAAACGTTAGAAAGAGGAGTGCTTTCACTTCGTTTCTGAATTGTGGCAAACCTGATCTATCTATCCATCTAACACAATGGGCAATATTTGTTTAGAGAGGTTTTGTCTTTGCCTTCCTCTATGGTTTCTATGGCCAAGTGGGAATTTGTAATTCTGATTAAATCATTGTAACAACATTCATTCTTTGAGATGAATGTATTTACTTAGCCTTCACATAATCACTATGGCTACTATTAGGTATTAAAGGGGGTATATTCTTTTGGGGCGCCCTGTGTGTTTGCATCTATATGTGGAGATTGTTTCCAAAAGGTACTAAATCCATTGTTGGCTATGCTTGGAATATTGTGTACATATCAAAACAACCAAATCACAGGGCTTGAGAAATTGCATTTTACAGCAAAAGAATGAACAACCTCAGCATGTGTTCAGGTGGATTTGGTACCTTTTGGAAATAAATTGTGTGTGTGTGTGTGTGTACACTGTATATATAAACACAGACAGATGTTGTTATTGTTGTGTGCCTTCAGTCATGTATGGGTAGACAAATATACACCAGGCATAAGAAAACTTTGGCCCTCCAGGTGTTTTGGACTTCAACTCGTGCAACTCCTAACAGCCTATCAGCTGTGGGATTTGAAATCCAAAACACCTCGAGGGCCAAGGTTTGCCCAGACCTGGTGTAGACACATATAATACAGCTCAATGCAGTTAAACTGCATTATATGTGTCTACAGTACACTGACCATACTGTACCATTTCAAACTGATTTGTATGGCAGTGTAGATCCAGCTTTAGAGAGCATGCCTTGCCCAAGCCCTCCCAATGGGTTTCCAGGGCTGAGCTGGGACTCAAACCCTCGTCTTTTGGGTCGAAAGGTGTGTCTACACAGTAGAATTAATTCTGTTTGGCACTGCTTTGGCCCTTTCTACACAGCTGAATAAAATCCCACATTTTCTTCTTTGAACTGGAATATATGTCAGTGTGGACTCAAATAACCCAGTTCGCAGCAGATAGTGTGGGATTTTCAGCCACGATATTCTGGGTTATATGGCTGTGTAGAAGGGCCCTTTAATTCCTGTGGCTCAATGCTATGGAATCACGGGAGTTGTAGTTTTACAAGGTCCTTAGCCATAGAGGCCAAGATGAAGTACTTTGGCCACATCATGAGAAGAAAGGAAACTTAGCGAAGACAATTATGCTGGGGGAAAAGGAAGGAAAAGGGAAGAGGGGCTGACCAAGGACAAGCTGGATGGATGGGATCCTTGAAGTGACTGGATTGACTTTGAAGGAGCTGGGGGTGGTGACGGCCGACAGGGAGCTCTGGCGTGGACTGGTCCATGAGGTCACGAAGAGCCGGAAACGAATGAACAACAACAATAGCCTTCTCTGTCAAAAAATGCAGCCCTCCCACACAGTCCTATAATAAAGAATATAATGGCAGAAATCCCACAATATCTGCTTTGACTGGGGGCCCTTCCACACAGCCCTATATCCCAGAATATCAAGGCAGAAAAACCCCACAATATCTGCTTTGAACTGGGTTATCTGAAGGCCTAGGACGCAGAACATGGCTTCAAACTACAAGAAAGGAGATTCCATCTGAACATGAGGAAGAACTTCCTGACTGTGAGAGCCGTTCAGCAGTGGAACTCTCTGCCCTGGAGTGTGGTAGAGGCTCCTTCTTTGGAAGCTTTTAAACAGAGGTTGGATGGCCATCTGTCGGGGGTGCTTTGAATGCAATTTTCCTGCTTCTTGGCAGGGGGTTGGACTGGATGGCCCATGAGGTCTCTTCCAACTCTTTGATTCTATGATTTTCTGCCCCAATATTCTGGGATATAGGGCTGTGTGGAAGGGCCCTGGGTTATCTGAGTCCACACTGCCATATATTCCAGTTCAAAGCAGATAATCTGGGATTTTACACATCTGTGGAAGAGGCCTAAACTGCACATTCCAGCATTCCACAGCACTGGGCCATGGAAGTTGAAGTGGTGTCAAACCGCATTAATTCAACAGTGTGGACACACCTCTGGACTGGATCCAGCTAAATGGTTTAAAGTAAGGAATGGCAAAATAACGTAGAAAACAATGAATATATGACACCACCACCACCCCCAAAAATACCCTTTTCTGGTACCTTGAGCACAACGATCCCCTTTGGCTTCCCACGTGGTCCCCAACACACACGCACCGGCCGCTTCTGATGACGTCAACGAATAGCGTCGCTTTCTAGCTGCCCAGCCAATCCCAAGCTGTGTTCTCGACACGCTCCTTCCGCTTGCCGGCGAGTCCTCTCTCCCTTTGCGAATCTATTGGCTAGGATGATCAAAGAGGTAAGGTCTTTTGAGAGCGACTGTCACTTCCGGCGCTCGTTCCACTCTCAGCCAGGATTCTATTTCCAGGGTTTGGCAGACTGAGAGGAAGCAAAACCAAACACCTTCTGAGTCAATGTTGCCTTGAAAACAAACAAAACAAAAACCCAGATAGGGTTGCAACGAATCAAAAATGAGTTGCTGACACTAAACAGTAAGCCCACTTTTTAAAGGCAAGCCCTCAAAAGCATTAACTACAAATATTGCTTCATTTAGCATCAGAGGGTTAGAATGCAAGAGATGCAGAGCATTTAATTCAGTCCAGGCAGAAGCTTTCCGAAGCTCTAGGTGCTCTTACTGTCCTATTACAGGGAAAACCAGCTGACCCCCAACCCATCTAAAACACAGACATGTGCCTTTCATCTCAAGAACAGACAAGCATCCCGAGCTCTGAGGTTCACCTGGGAAGGAATCCCACTGGAGCATTGCAGTGCACCCAAATACCTGGGAGTCACTCTGGACTGTGCTCTTACCTACAAGAAGCATTGCCTGAACATCAAGCAAAAAGTGGTGCTAGAAACAATATCATACGAAAGCTGACTGGCACAACCTGGGGATCACAACCAGACACAGTGAAGACATCTGCCCTTGCGCTGTGCTACTCGGCTGCTGAGTATGCATGTCCATCTCACCACACTAAAACAGTGGATGTGGCTCTTAATGAGACATGCCATATTATCACGGGGTGTCTGCGCCCTACACCACTGGAGAAATTACACTGCTTAGCCGGTATTGCACCACCTGACATCCGCCGGGAAGCAGCAGCCAATAGTGAAAGGACCAAGGCAGAGACATCTCCAGCTCATCCCCTGTTTGGGTATCAGCCAGCACGTCAACGACTTAAATCAAGAAATAGTTTTCTAAGATCTACAGAGACACTCGCTGGAACACCTCAGCAAGCGAGAGTCCAAAAGTGGCAGGCTCAAACCCAGAGCCTCAATCAATGGCTGATACCCAATGAGAGACTCCCCCCTGGGCACACAGAAAACTGGGCGACTTGGAAGGCACTGAACAGACTGCGCTCTGGCACCACGAGATGCAGAGCCAACCTTAAGAAATGGGGCTACAAAGTGGAATCCACAACATGCGAGTGTGGAGGGAGCAAACCACTGACCACCTCCTGCAACGCAACCTGAGCCCTGCCACATGCACAATGGAGGACCTTCTTGCAGCAACACCAGAAGCACTCCAAGTGGCCAGATACTGGTCAAAGGACATTTAATCAACTACCAAACTTCACAAATGTTGTATTTTGTCTGTTTGTTTGCTTTGTTCTGTTAGAAATGTAATATATTTGACTGGTTGCCCTGACATGACAAATAAATAAATAAGTCCAGGCATGTTTCAGATTATCCAACAAGACAAGCCAAGAGTGTGATGCACCAGCATAAAAAGCCAATGCGATTCTAGGCTACATCAATAGCACTATAATGTCTAGATCAGTGTTTCTCAATCTGGGGGTCAGGACCCCTGCCGGGTCACGAGAGGGTATTAAAGGGGTCGCCAAAGACCATCAGGAAACACAGTATTTTCAGCTTGGCCCAATTCTGTCGTCGGTGGTGTTCAGAATGCTCTTGGATTGTAGGTGAACTATAATCCCAGCAACTACAACTCCCAAATGTCAAGGTCTATTTTCTCCAAACTCCACCAGTGTTCACATTTGGGCATGTTGAGTATTTGTGCCAAGTGTGGTCCAGATCATTGTTTGAGTCCACAGTGCTCTCTGGATGTAGGTGAACTACAACTCCAAAACTCAAGGTCAATGCCCACCAAACCCTTCCATATTTTCTGTTGGTCATGGGAGTTCTGCGTGCCAAGTTTGGTTCAATTCCATTGTTGGTGGAGTTCAGAATGCTCTTTGTTTGTAGGTGAACTATAAATCCCAGCAACTGCAACTCCCAAATGACAAGGTCTATTTTTCTCCAAACTCCACCAGTGTATTGAATATTCATGCCAAGTTTGGTCCGGATCCATCTTTGTGTGAATCCAGAGTTCTCTCTGGATGTAGGTGAACTACAACTCCAAAACTCAAGGTCAATTTCCACCAAACCTTTCCAATATTTTCTGTTGGTTATGGGAATTCTGTGTGCCAAGTTTGGTTCAATTCCATGTGGAGTTCAGAATGCTCTTTGATTGCAAGTGAACTATAAATCCCAGCAACTACAACTCCCAAATGACAAAATCAACCGCCCAACCCCACCAGTATTCAAATGTGGGCATATCGAGTATTTGTGCCAAATTTGGTCCAGTGAATGAAAATACATGCATATCAGATATTTACATTACGATTCCTAACAGTAGCAAAATGACAGTTATGAAGTAGCAATAGTTTTATGGTTGGGGGTCACCACAACATGAGGGACTGTATTAAGGGGTTTCGGCAATAGGAAGGTTGAGAACCACTGGTCTAGATCAAGCATGGGCAAACTTTAGGTGGTTAGCAATTGTGGGAGTTGAAGTCCAAAACACCTGGAGGAAGGCCAAAGTTTGCCCATGCCGAGACAGACGTAGAGACGTAGTTTGAAATGGGATCCGCATGGATGCTTCCAAGGATATGTTGAAATCCAAAACATCTGGAGGGCTTCCAAATCTGTGTCACTCAATAATGTAAGACTAGTCAAACACATGGTTGATGGTCATGACGCCTCCCGGTGGCTCAATGGGTTAAACTCTTGTGCTGGCAGGAATGCTGACCAAAAGTTCGCATCCAGGGAGCGGGGTGAGCTCCCATCTGTTAGCTCCAGCTTCTCACATGAGGACATGAGACAAGCCTCCTACAAGGATGGTAACACATCAAAACATCAAGGCATCTCCTGGGCCAACAAGCAGTAAACAGAGTTGTCAAAAATATAGCCAGTTTAAGGTTAAGAAAACACAAATGCCAGGAGAGGATTATCAATCACATAGATAAGATAGCTGTGAAGAACAAAAATGGGGGAGGGCTGCTGGTAGATTCTATGGTCAAATACCTCCAAAACACCAGGTGCCTAATTAATCAGCTATTTCACAGCTGCCAGGATCATCACAATCTCTACCTCATTTTTGTTAAAAAAAAAGGATGGTGGCATATCTTCAACATCCTCCATTTCGTGCAAAGCTCCCTGCTTTCTTGGACAGATCCCTATCATCAGGAGATGCACATGCCTGGACATCTGGCTCCTCCGTTCTCAATCATCTGGCTCCAGAAGGTGAGTTATGACAGTTTCCAACCTGCAATGACTCTAAAATAGGCTTTTCTTGGCAAAGTTGGTTCACAGGAGATTTACCTTTGCCCTCAATCACAGTCGGTTCCTACAGCTAAGTGAGGATTCGAACCCTGGTTTTCAGAGTCATTCCACATAAACTTGTCTGATTTTCTGGGTTGCTGTGAGTTTTTCCAGGCTGTATGGCCATGTTCCAGGAGCATTGTCTTCTGACATTTCACCCTCATCTACGGCAGGCATTCTCAGAGGTTTGTTGGAAACTAGGCAAGTGGGTTTTCTGTATCTGTGGATTGTCCAGTGCTGGAGAAAGAACTCTTGTCTGTTTGAGGCAAGTGCAAATGTTGTAATTGATCACCTTGATTTGCATTGAATAGCATTGCAGCTTCAAAGCTTGGTTGCTTCCTGCTTGGGGAATCCTTTGTTGGGAGGTGATTAGCTGACCCTGATTGTTTCTTGTCTGGAATCCCCCTTTTTTTGAGTGTTGTTCTTTATTTACTGTCCTGATTTTAAAGTTTTTTAAATACTGGTAGCCAAATTTTGTTTACTTTCCAATGTATAGGGTGGTAGGAATTGGAAAGTGGGGGCTTTGTGGGTATGTTCAGCTAAAATTGGTCACAGAGCCCTCTTCGGCCCCTCGTGCCTAATGCTCAAAGGTCTGTCTTCCATGCAGATGTTTGGGGACATTAAGAGCAAGCCTAATGTAAACACTCACATCCTGCCTCCTGTTTTAGTGCTGCACGTTTCTCAGGCAAATGCCAAAACAAGTGATTCAAGATCTAATCTTGACCCAGCATCTATATTTGTAATTGATACCATTCAATTTTAACATCCCACAAGCGCTGCCATAATAATAATAATAACAACAACAAATAAATAAATAAAAATAACCTACTTTTTTGCTACTTTTCTATCTTATATTATTCCCCCACTTTCGCTGTAACTATATAAAATTCAATAAAAATTTATAATAAATAAATAAATAAATAAATAAATAAATAAAAACAACCTAGGCTACCAAACAGCAAGAAATTCACCAAAAATCTCTCACTTGTTGTACATGGATGATCTAAAGCTTTATGGAAAATCAGAAACTGAAATCGAGTCACTGACCAACAGTCAGAATCTTCAGCACTGACATCAGTATGGAGTTTGGCCTAGACAAATGTGCCACAGTGGCATTAAAGAAAGGGAAAATTACACAAAGCGAGGGCATAGAGATGCCAAACGGACAAACCATAAAGTGCAATCAGCCTGAAGCCTATAAATATCTGGGCATACTACAATTGACAACAACAACAACAAGTGAAAAATGTGGTCAGCAAAGAATATATCCAAAGAGTCAGAAAGGTTTGAAGAGCAAATTAAATGGCGGAAATACGATCAAGGCTCTCAACACCTGGGCCATCCCCGTCATTAGATACACTGGTGGGATTGTGAACTGGACAGAAGCAGAGCTGAATGATCTGGACAGAAAAACAAGAAAACTGATGACAATCCACTACGCATTACACCCGCATAGTGACATTGACAGACTTTACTTGTCCAGAAAATCAGGAGGCAGAGGGCTTCTGCAAGTGAAACAAATGGTAGAAGAAACACGCACTGGCAGATTATGTGAAAGGCAGTCAAGAACCAACATTGAGGGAAGTCAATTGTAGTAAACTGCTTA